TTAAATTTAGTTGGCTGAATATTTGAAGTGAATGAAATATAATACTGCACAATAGTAAGCTTGTGCTTTATGAGAAAAAGTTTTATTTTTTTTGTCTAAAATAAACTAAAATGATTTATTATTTTTGTCTTTCTGGCTTTTTGATTTCTTTCTTTTTTTAAGACATCTTACTGTTAGTCTTCTGCTGTCACTTTAAGAACTAACCACGCCCACCCCAGCCACTTCTGACCCCACCCCCCTCGCCGCCATCTTCTCTCTCGTGTGTGTGCAAGCGTGTGTGTGTGTGTGTGTGTGTGTGTGTGTGTGTGTCTTTGTTCTCTCTATGTTTGTCTATGTTTTCCTTTCTTTAAGTAATAAATGTCTAGCTTTATGTATAGGCTTATGTCTATTTACTCGCCGTCCACCGCATCCAGCCGCCTGACTCTGCCGCTTGCCCTGGTACCCTGACTCCCCCGGCCACATGGCGCTGCCATCCTGGAGATCTTGCGGGGACCCACAGCCACTAGCAGCTGCTCTGCGAGCTGCTCTGGACATCCCATCATCTTATTATTTTTAAAAAGAACAAAACTTACTATGTACCTCTGCCTGGCCTGCAACTTGTTACTTAGATCAGGCTGACCTTGAACCCACAGAGGTCCTCTGTCCCTGCCTCCCAAGTGCTGGGGTGTCTTTGTGTCTTGAGATAGGGTCTCCTGTAACCAAAGATGGCCTGGAAATAGAGAACGACCTTGAACTCCTCCTGACCCTTCTACCCGTACTTCTTGAGTGCTGAACTTACAGGTGTATACCATCATGAGTTAAATTTAAGCTCACAATTCATTTATTCAGTTACAATTGCCACATTTCCGATGTTCAACAGTCACATGTGTTTGGTAACTTCCATATTCAAATGAAAATGGTTGTGAGTTATGGAGTTGGAAAGCAAGAGATGAATCAGAAGTTATTACAGTAATCCAACAAGAGGTGATGAATTGGACCAGAATGGTAGTGGTAGACTGTATGAGTAGTAGTTGTATTTAAGATACCTGTTAAATATCTAATTAACAGGGTTTATAAATGGATTAAGTGTAGGGTATGGGGGGGGGGAGATCAACAATGATCTTGTTTTTCTGGACTGCTGAAGAGTAGACATATTTTGAGATGAAAGATGACATTTTCTGGGTGGAGTAGGAATATTCATTCACGGATTACCTTGTTAAGTAGGTAAAGTGTGGATATTTCCTAGAATCAAAATGTGTTTTAAGAGGCTGTTTGTTGGTTCTCAGCTGCCCAGACCCAAAATAATCTCTCAGAAACTTTATCATTTGAATCACTGCTTGGCCAATAGCTTAAGCATATTTTTAACTAGCTCTTATATCCTGAACTAACCCATCTCTATTAATCTGTATATTGCTATGAGGCTGTAGCTTTCCATGTAAAGTTCCGGTAAAGTCTGTCTCTGGTGGGGCTGCATGACTTTTTTCTGATTCCACCTTCTTTCTCCCAGCATTCAGTTTAGTGTCCATGCGCCCGCCCCCACCCCCTTCTGCCAGTGCTCTGCTATAGGCTCAAAGCAGTTTCTTTATTAACCAGTGGTATTCACAGCATACAGAGGGGAATTCCACATCAAAAATGGAGGTATAAGACAGTTTGTTTTCTGTTGCTGTGATAGAGATCATGGCCAACATCAGCTTGGGGAGAAAAGGAGTTATTTCAGCTACTTTCCAGTCACAGTCCGTCATGAAGTGAAGTCAGTACAGGAGCTGGAGACGGGAACTGAAGCAGAGTCCATGGAGGAATGCTGTTTACTAGCTTGTTCTCCTTGGCTTTCTTAGTCTGCTTTCTTATACAACCCAGTCCCCCAGTGGGCTAGATCCTTCAACATTGTTGAATATGCTCTAGAGACATGTTTATAGGCCAATTTTTCTTTTTAATATTTTTTGGTTTTTAGGTTTTTTTGTTTTGTTTTGTTTTTTAATACAGGGTTTCTCTGTGAAACAGTCCTCACTGTCCTGGAACTCACTTTGTAGATCAGGCTGACTTTGAACTCAAAAGTTTCCCAAGTGCTGGAATTTTCAGCCAATCTTAAGGGGAGGCATTTTCTCAATTGACATTCAATTGTGTCATTTTGACAAACTAAACAAGACATGAATCTGAGTTCAGCAGTTTACTCCAGAGGAACATCAGACTCTTCAGTGCATTTATAGGCATGAGGCTGAGATCAGTTTATCCAGAAACTCATAGACAAATGAGGTTGGAAGACGGAAGTTCAGAGAGGAGAGCCAGTCATCAAGAACGGGAACAGCCAGCTGCATGGGAAAAACTAGAAGAGAAGAGGAAAGGAGGAAACACAAGAAAAAGCATCTATTGCTGAGCCCCAATTATGTGAAGTGCCCAGGACGATATAAAATCACCATGGTCTTTAGCCATGCACAAACAGTAGTCTTGTGTGTTGACTGCTCCACTGTTCTCTGTCAGCCCACAGGTGGAAAAGCAAGACTGACAGAAGGATGCTTCTTCAGGAGGAAGCAGCAGAGTGACTCAGATGCCCAATGAAAAATAGTTTCACAAGGGTATAGTCAAATCATGTATAATACTACTGAGAGGTTAACTAGGGTTGAAAGTTGAGACTTGACCTTGGATTCAGCAACTTAATTGAACTTCAGCTTCTTTATGTATAAAAGCACCATTACCTTAAGCATTAGGGAGATCATCATGAAAGAAATCATTCATAGACGAATTGGGGTAGTGGAGAGGTGGCTGAGTGCTTAAAGAGGTGGCTTCTTATCAACACCCAGGTTTAATTCCCAGCACCCATGTGATGGCTCACAACTGTCTGTAACTCCAGTTCTGTGGGATTTGGCACTCTCTGCTGGCTTTTGCAGGCACCAAACATGTATATGGTACACAGACTGAAAAAAAACAACCATACATATAAAATAAATAATAAATTTGTAAGAAGGAGTGGTGAATGTTACAATTCAGAGATAAGTAACTAAAAATGAAGGAAAGCACAAATAAGTATATAGACAGGAAGATGTGTAATTTTGTGTGGATTTTCTTACTGGAGTATGTGATGAGTGTCTACTGAGGATTGAGAAGTATGTGTGTGTGAGAGAGAGATTAAGGAATGTGATCAGGCTCTTTGTTGGTTTCAGTTTTTTGAGACAAAATCTCACAGTATAGCCTTGGCTGTCCTGGAATGGAATTCACTCTGTAGACCAGGATGGCCTTGGTGGGGTGTGTGTTTTGTTTTGTTTGCATTTTGCAACTACTTTGCTAAATTAGCTTGCAATGGGGCTTATTTTAAAGTGGTAAAGCCACTTGAAATCACTGTGCTGACCTTCCTGCTTCTATTCTCTATCACTATGTAGCTGGGGTGGGAATGAAGTTGAACACTGGCTTAGAATATGTGATGCTTTTTTTTTTTTTGGCCGCAAAATAACAGCAAACAAACTCACTAGAACATATTTTTTCTTTAATATTTAAAAGCCCACAAATAAGGCTAGAGAGATGGCTCAGCTGTTAAAGGCTGCCCCAAATCTATCGACTTGGCATTCTGAAAACACGAGCCCCAGCTGCTTCAGCTTTGGTCACAGAAGCTGCTCTTTGAAGCAGGCGGCAGTAATTGCAGACACTCACAGTTTCCCAGAGTGCCGAGAACAAGTGACTGTTTGATGTTCATGGATAAATGGAGCGCCAAGCTCACGTCCTCCAAGACTCAGGGAATATTGTTGAAGAAGGAATAGAAAGAATCTAAGAGCCAAAGACCGGGGCAGAGTGTTAAAGAATGTTGTCTTCTGGGTGTGACAAGGCTATGATTACCCATATAAAACCTACACTTGATTGAGCCCATCAGCATCTCATCATAGTACAGGAGAGGGACTCATGAGCTTCTGTCCAAGTGCATATAGGTCATTAATGGTTATTGGAGGAGGGAGAGATGTTTCTTCAATGGCATAAATCTGGCAAGGTGCCCATACCCTATAAACAGCCTCTCACCTATAATTAAATTTAATGGATCACAAAAAAAATACATGAAATACAATAAGTAATTAGAGTTGGAGAAAGATAAGAGAGGGTAATGAAGGTCGGAGGAATATGCTCAAATACATTATATGTATATATGAAACTGTCATAGTGGAAATCATTGTGTATAATTAAAATATGCTAATAAAATCAAAGGTTTTATTATGAATGTACTATAAATTTGAATACTTTATGTTCACATTATACTTCATATATTTTTGTATTGTATATATAATAAAAGTTAATTTCGTTTTGTGTATTGTAATTTTTCCTTGGAAAGCAAATACAAAACTTATAATCTTGCCTTAGATTTGAGGCAAACTGACTGTAAACACATTCTTTTGCTTTTCTGTTTTGTTTTTATTTTTTTGAGACAAGGTTTTTCTGTGTAACCCTGACTGTCTGGAACTCACTATGTAGACCAGGTTAGCCTCAAACCTGCAGATCTACCTGCCTCTGCCTCCCAAGTGTTGGGTTTAAAGGTGTGCACCACTACTGCCCAACCAGATTTTTCTTTTTTTAAGTGACTAAGTTTAAAAAGCAAGTAACAAAAGAAAATGTTTCTGGTACAATAGCAGCATTACAAAACACATATGTGCCTGGATAAGACACCCATTTCATAGTGCTGCAACTTTTGTTATTGTTAAGTAGACAGACTGTTTTTATAAACTTCCTTTAAAATACAAATAAGAATATTTAACAGAACTGATTATACTCACTTCAACAAAGGTCAATATGTATTTTGAGACTTCTTAGTCTTGTTGTAGTTTGTTTTGTTTCTTTGGTTTTTCAAAGCAGGGTTTCTCTGTGTATCCCTGGCTGTCCTAGAACTCAGATCCACCTGCCTTCCCCCACCAAGTGCTGGAATTAAAAGTGTGTACCACTACCCCAGGTACATTATGTCTCTAAATGTAAATTAGCAGAATGGGATAGGACCATTTCTGCCAACTTGATATTGCAGATCACTGACTCCTATTTTGCTGTCTTTTCAGGTAACGTTTCACTTGTTGCATTTCCAGTTTCCAGCACTCACTCACCAACAAAAATTTTACCGAAAACCTTAGGGCCAATAAATGTGAATGTTGGACCCCAAATGGTAAGAAAACTATCGAGTCTTGTATTTGACACTTCACTTAGGCAAGACTAATTTATAGAATTATTATGCTGAAGATATTTGGCAAAATACTACCTTTAATTATCTCATTTTCTTTAAATAAAAGTTTTATTTTTATCTGAGTGTAATTAATTAAATGTTAATGAAAGTTTTGTGCTCTTATTTTTTAAGTTTAACATAATTCACTCTGTGGTTTCTGGATGTGTATGTTAAAGATTTTCTTTCTTTATAAGGCCTCTCTTTTATTGTTTAATTAACTTGAAATCTGTTGTATACTACCTGTCTTCCGTTTTCTTTTTCTTCTAAAATAACCTTTGTGAAAACCATGTGTTCGCATATAAATTGAATGTGTAACTGAATTTATAGGTGTGCAGCATTAAAATTAAGTTGAATTTATGGCTGGAGCTGTAGATTTCAATTTTTTCCATTTAAAGGTTATTGTAGGTCAGCTCATGCTTGAACTTTCATTGGGAGGCCGCGCAGGAAGATCATCACAATTTCCAGGATAACCTGTCCACATAGTGAGCTCCAAGTAATCCAGGGAAGCCAGGTGTTGTTGGCGCATGCCTTTAATCCCAGTACTTGAGGCAGAGGCAGGCATATCTCTGTGATTTCGAGGCCAGCCTGGCCTATAAGAGCTAGTTCTAGGACAGGCCCCAAAGCTACAGAGAAACCCTGTCTCAAAAAACCAAGTAATCCAGGGAACTGCAACCCTGTCCAGAGGGAGCAAAGAGGAAGAGAGAACAGATAGAGAGGGTGGGGGGATGAGTAGCTGGGGAAACAACAATATGCCATTCTTAACCCTAAAAATACTGGATGAAAAATAGTTATGTGTGTGTTTCTCTAAAGGCATTCATTGACTCTGCTAGCACTCTCAGAAAACCTTGTTTATAATCACAGTTGTATTAAGTTACTCTTGCCTGGTTTGGTGGTTTGTACATATAAACTCCGCACTCAGGAAGTTGAGACAGGAGGATTTTAGTACATTTGAAGCCATCTGAAAAGCCTACTGTAAGGGAATGGAGAGCAGTTAAGAGAATAGCTGCTCTTGGGAGCTATAATACCCTCTTCTGTCTTCTGTGGCAACAGGCATGTAAGTGGTACACAAGCATACATGCAGGCAGAATACCCATTTATAGAAAAAAAAAAGCCAAAAAATCAGCCGGGCAGTGGTGGCACACACCTTTAATCCCATCACTTAGGAGGCAGATCTTTGTGAGTTCAAGGCCAGGCTGGTCTACAGAGCAAGTGCCAGGACAGGCTCCAAAGCTACACAGAGAAACCCTGTCTCAAGACCAAAAAAAAAAAAAAAAAGGAAAAAGGAAAAGGAATATAATAGTGGGACATGCCTTTAATTCCAGCATTCAGGAAGTAGAGGCAAATGGATCTCTGTGAATTTGATGCCAGTCTGATTTACTTTTTATATATTTTTCTAAAGAGTCATTTATTTATTATGTATACAGTGTTCTGTTTGCATGTTTGCCTGCATAACAGAAGAGGTCACCAGATCTCATTATAAATAGTTGTGAGCCACCACATGGTTGGTGGGAATTGAACTCAGGATCTCTGGAAGCCAGCCAGTGTTCTTAACCTCTGAGCTATCTCTCCAGTCCCTACCAGCCTGGTTTATATAGTGGGTTCCAGGACAGCCAGTGTCTTACAAAACAAAACAACAAAAAAAAAAATGAATAAATAAAAAGGAGAAGAAAAAAAGAAAGACAATAATTATTCTTTCATGTCCTTAGCATATATCTTCAGGTTAATCAGCTTTTCTTAGGAATGGTCTCCTAGTCAGGTGACTGGCAAGTCCAGTTGTATTAATGTTGTTTTAAAAATTGTTACCCTTTTTATGTGTATAGGTGTTTTGCCTGCATATATGTCTGTGTACTATCTGTGTGTACAGTACCCATAGTGGCAAGAAGCAGTAATCAGATCCCCTAGAACTAGAGTTACAGACAGTTGTGAGCTGCCATGTGGGTGTTGGGAATTAAACCTGGATCTTCTGTCAGAGCAATGGATCTGTCTCTCTAGACCATAGTTGGGTTAACTCTTAAGATTGAGGACAATAGTATGTAATGATTTGGGCAGAATTTTTTTTTATCCAGAGTGAAATATAAGTCAGATTCTAGTTTTTTGTTGTTTTGTTTTGATCAAAAAGTCAGAGTTTTCCTGTAATGGGCCTAACCCTGATATCTCTACTTTTTTGTATGGTATTTTAAATCTTGAGAGGTTTCCTTGGTAGTGTTACCAGGGAAACGGTAGGTGGGTGTTAGGTATATTTCTTAAGAGGAGCCTCTCCGCTACCGCAAATAATTCCAATCAGACCAAATTAGACCGAATTAAGATGCCCATGTTTAATGCAGTGCTCCCTGGAGCAAAACCTGAGACCATGTGTTCCTCTTTTGGGTCTCAGCCTAAATAGCCTGTGGGAGTCCCGGAGGTGGAGTCTGGACCAAGGCAACTCCCCAGGGGAGGGGCTTTCAAGGATGGATGCCAGGTATTACAGGGAGGTGTTGCGAGGAGCCCACTTGGTGGTTCCCGGCTGCTCAGCCCCAAAATAATCACACAGAAACTATATTATTTAAAACACTGCTTGGCCCATTAGCTCTAGCTTCTTATTGGCTAACACTTATATCTTAATTTAACCCATATGTAGTAATCTGTGTATCACCACATGGTCATCGCCTACCTGCAAAGTTTCAGTGCATCTATCTCCAGCAGCAGCTCCATGACTTTTCCCTGACCCTGCCATCTCTCTCCCTGCATTCAATTTAGTTTTCCCCGCCTAGCTAAATTCTGCCTTGCTATAGGCTCAAGCTAGCTTTCTTTATTCATTAATGATAATCACAGCATACATAGGGAATCCCATATCAGTGGGGTTCAAAGCTGGTGATGAGAGCAGCATCTCTCTTCAGTGGCCTCCAGAATTGTCAGTACACATCTGGCTGCCTCATAAAAACACTCCACACTCTTCTGTCCCAAAAGGATGAAGAAGCATCAAGAAGCCGGGATCCAGCCTTTACCAGATTTTGAATATTATGGTGCTTTGATGTCAGACTTCTCATTTTCTGGAACTGGTATTTTTTTTGGGGGGGGGCTAAGTGGCTCCTTGCAGATTGAAAGTTAGATACATATTAGTTTTGAAGTAAAAGAAGAGTGGGCTTATTGTGGAAAAGCAGTGCAGTAGAACTGCCCCACAAGTAGAATAGTCACAAAAAATACAGAATTGACCTTCTCGAGGGCAGAGTAAGCAGGCACAGAGATAGATGTTTAATTTTATGTTGAAATTGAAATATTTATGCTTTTTCCAGGAAATTTTTTTTTCAGGAAATGAATTTGTGTGGCTTTTGAGGAGCCCTAAAATTTAGTGTGTGTGTACTAATTTGCATATTCCTCAAAGTGAGCCTGTATTCGTGTTACAGCTTTTCTCCTGGGCAGAGATCTTATGTGTGCTAACATTACAATAAGGTATTCTAGAGGGTCATGGATGGTCACCTTGATGGTCACTGATCTTAACGGTTGTCCGTGGCTACCAGTTTTTGTGTCCACTTAACATAAGAAGTGCAACCAGGTGTTGGTGGCGCACACATTTAATCCCAGCTCTTGGGAGGCAGAGGCAGGCGGATCTCTCTGAGTTTGAGGCCATAAAGAACAAAGTGTGAGTTCCGGACAGCTAGGACTTTTTTACACACTGTCTTGAAAAATTGGAAAAAATCAAACCAAACAAACAAAGAAGTGCAGCTAACTGCCTGTTGGTTTGTTGATTCCCTACAGCCTACCTGCTGTCATAGCCAGAGAGAGCTCTTCGTTTTCTTTCTCTCATTCTTCAGTATTCTTTTTCCTTTCTTCCTAAGTAGCCAAAGCTGGCCTTGAACTTGGAATCCTCTTGGCTTAGTTTCCCAAGTGCTGGAGTTACAGGCTTCTTCTCTTTTCTTTTATGTCTTTATCACCTTCTTAAATTTTAATTGATTAAATTATCGGAATCGGGGTGCTTACATAATGGCTCAGTGGTTAAGAGCACTGGCTGCTCTTCCACAGGAAGAAGTTCAGTTCCCAGCATCTGCCTGGCAGTGCTCGACCATTTCTAAGTCCAGTTCCAGGGATCTGAAGCCTCTTCTGGCTTCCATGGGCACCTGGAATACAAGTGGTACACAGCCATATATGCAAGCATATACATTAAATAAGGAAATGAAATAATAAGTACACACATTTTATTTTTTGAGACAGGGTCTCATTATGTAGTCTTCATCTCTAGACCAGACTTCCCTCAAACTTAAGAGAATCACCTGGGATTAAAGACATATTACAAATACCTGATTGGTTATTGTCTTTTTTTTTTCTTATTTGTGTGTGTGAGTGTGTGTGTGTGCACACTCACATGCACATATAGAGGTGACAATACTGTGCAGGAGTCAGTTCTAGCCTTCTACCGTGTGGGTTCCAGGGATTGAATTCTGGTCATCAGGCTTGGCAGCAGGCGCCTTAACCTGCTGAACCACAGCCATTTGTCAGCTCTTCCTGTCCCTTTTAAGCATTGTTTAGTCTAGGGGTACAGAGCAGTGATAGAATACTTACTTCTAATGTACTAGTCCTGGGTTTAGTCCCCAGAACTGGGGTTGGGGAAGAAACCTAAAATTAAAACTACTGTTTTTCACCTCTGTTCCTCATTCAGTATTTTTTAAAAGTTTTTTTTTGTTTTTTGTTTTTGGTTTTTTTTTGTTAGAGAATTTTTGACTAGACTATTACTTATCATTTTCTTTTTACCTCTTATATTTTTTCCTTGACATAATCTTGATTACAGTTTCTCCACCCTCTATGCTTCCCAGGTTCATTAGCTGCTTCTTCTCTTTTCTTTTCTTTTCTTTTCTTTTCTTTTCTTTTCTTTTCTTTTCTTTTCTTTTCTTTTCTTTTCTTTTTCGAGACAGGGTTTCTCAGTTGCTATGGAGCCAGTCCTGGAACTCATTCTATAGACCAGGCTGGCC